TAAGTACCTACAATTCTCAATGGTTGCAGTGGAAGCTAAGTTTAGCAGGACTAGCTTGCTTTTTTGGTTTTTTTTTGTTTTTTTGTTTTTGGGTTTGGGGGGGGGGGTGGCTTTTTCTGGGGGTTTTTGGGGGGGTTTTGGGGTGTTTTTTTTTGTTTTGTCGTTTTGGGGTTTTTTTTGTCATTTTTGGGGGGTTTTTGTCGTTTTGTTAATATATATCTGTGACTAGGAGAGTTGATAAGGCTGTGATCACCTTGATAGAGACTGAGAAGATAAGGGAGAAGAATGAATAGCCTTTGATATGGCTGCTCACTAGTTCCTGGCAAAAACTCAAATATGTAAGTTGATGCATCAGATGAGTCTACTAGTGTGTTTTGGCCTCTTTGTTTTGTTTTGTGTATTTTTTATGTTCTGGTTTTTGGGGTTTGGGGGTGGTGGTGTTTGGGGTTTATTTTTGTTTCTTACTGAGATTAGTAAGATTTTCTTACTCGTATCAGGAGACCATAATATCTTCTCAGTTTAGAAATTCTGACCTGTGATGTGGGTTCCAGGTGCCAGGAAAACAGGAGGAAGGCAATCAGATACTTGTTTTGTGCTGATATATCAGATGCAAGAAAAAGTGGAGAGCTGGCTGAAGTTTAGCAAATCACTTCTTGTGGACTTGAGACTATTATCTGAAACTGGTTTAATGATTAACACTTAAGGTGAGAAATTAGGGCATATGAATTATCTTAGGATGTTGACTTAGAATACTGTCTAAAAGAATTACTGATTTAGTCTTCATTGTTACAAAAGTTGAACAAAAATGTAGGTGACTTGCATAGAATATGAGTGTGTGTTGATTTCAGGTTGATAACATGCCAAGACTGAGTCACAGAAATTCGCAGTGGAATTAATTTCAAAACAGGTAAAAATTGACTGCAGTTCTGAGTTTCTGTATGTTTTGTTCTACTTGAATGCAATCAGTGCTCCAAGGAAGATGATGCCAAAACATGATTCACAGATATGTCATATCTGATGGAAGTCTGTTGTATATTATGCTGAAGTATCCCATTTTCAACTGAGCAACACTAGTTCTATTCACCTGGGTCTTTCAAAAACTGAACATACAAGTTTCTTAACTGGATGAGACGTGCGTGCGCGCACATGCGTCCTCTGGATGTGGCACGTTTCCCTGCTTTTTTACATGTTGTTATGTTCCCATCATCGCTGGTCTCTTAACATTTTCGCAAGGATGTCAGTGGATATATTTGGCGAAGTAAAGCACTCGGGCTTAAACAAAACGCTTGGCTCCCAGATGGAGAGTTTGAAGACCTTTTGCTGCCTAAATTTAAACTTTCACCCCTGAGCTGTTGTCTTTCAAAACTTATTGTCACTTGCACCAGTAGATAAAGTAGTTCATTCCCGCGTGATCTTCTGTGATGCCTCATTTTTTCTCCAGACTGATAGCTTTATTTTTAAATGAAAAATGAGGTATGTTTTGATTTTTCTCTCTTGTGTTGCAGCTGCTTAGAATTTTGTATATGAAGAGGTATGAGGAGATCTGACTTTTAAGTAAGACTAGCCTGTTGTCAGCATAGCAGGTATAAAAGCAAAGAAAATGTTAAATTCCAAGAGGCCTTTTCATTCTTAAATTACTTTGCCTGTGATCCACAATTAGGTATTTTGAATTCCTGAAGCAGGAAATTAGATTAATCAAATTTAATAAAATGACATTATGATTCTTATAAATTTCTTCTGGTTCTTCCCTATGAAAGCAAAAAGTGTATTTCTACTGAATGTATATTTTATTTTTCCAGTGTAATCAATTCTGTATGTGTGTTAAGATAAAACTAATTTAAAGTATTCTGATTTCATCACCCTGCCACGTCCTGAGAGCTGTAGAAGTAGTGTTAGGAAAAGCAGATACTGGAAGGTAGGAGCAGCAGCCATTCTGGAGGAGCCTCCTGAAAGAGACGTTCGTGAGGAATGCGGGGCATCAAGGCGGAGTTGGCAGTGGATTAATCTGAAACATCTAGGCATTGTTTCTAGGTTAGTAGTTCCCAAACTTTTTATGAATTTGAGGCCCGTTTCTGTTAGTTTTGTGATGCTAAATACTAATGCAAATGATGAAATTTGTTACATGTGCACTCTCATACCTTACTGTCATAGTGTTTTTTTCTGAATTTTCTGGTCAGGTGTTTCAGTTTGGGTAGAGCTTCACAGTGATTTAGTTTAAAAAAAAAAAAAAAAGGTAGTTTTAGCCTGCTGTGAACAAGGAGGTGAAACTTGTGTTGCCCCACCCACCAAATCCTTTGAGGGAGAAAGTTTTTTTTTTTATGAACTTTGTCCATTCGGTGTAGTGTAACTTCCGTTAGTGCTAACGAATTGCTTGCTCTGGAAGAATTTCTGTAAGTAAGATAGTCTCTTCAATGGTTCCTCCGTTGGGGACCCTTTGCCCAGCGCCTGCCAGGCCCCGGGGACCAGCTCTGTGGGCATGGTGGCCCACCAGAGTGACTTGGTGGTGGATATTTTGTACTTTGCCCTAGAGAAAACATTCTTTTTTCACCCCAAGATGGCCAGAATAATGAAGTATATTTCAAGGGAAAAATCTGAATTATACTAATTTGAAACAATTAACTTATGAACTTTACTAGTAGACTCTTTTCCTAGGATATTGAAACTGAGCAGCTGTGTTTTCGCTTTCATGAGAAACTCCTGCCCTTCCTTTGTGCTGTAACCAGGCCTGTATGGCTGCCTTGTCACTGGTGCTTGAGGTAATTTGTCCAAAACCTATTGCAGTCTTTTTAATGACATTGAAAGTGTTGGCATATATACAAGTGTATTGTTCACATAAGTATGCTGGAGAGAGGACATTTTCTCAAGAGTCCTTAATCAGGCACTGGACAATTACGGCTTTTACTCTGCCAGTGTTTCCGTTAAACTTTTTGATTCTTTACACCAGAAATTCTTTCTGCTCTGAGCAAGTGGTTTGTATAAGGTGGTCTCTTGTTGGTTTTGATCTTGACATCTGTACTTCATCACTCATGCGTGTAAATCCAGAAAGCTGAGAAAAGTAAGGAATCCTCTGAGCACAACATAGGCCTACCCATTCTGATGGTAGATTGGAAGTATTAGTGCTCACAGAGAGTCCTATTTATTTAATATTCTGCCAGCCCTGTTCTATTATTTGGCAGGGAGGGAGGCTGCTTTTGTGATCTTTTAAAAAAATATATGGAGAACAATATTTGATTTTGTCTTTCAAGACCAGTACCTTTAGATTTTCAACAATTCTTTGTTGAAAACTGTGCATAGCTGGTAGTACAATAGGTAATGGAGTAAATAGGATATAGCCCTAATACTCTGTAGCTTGTGATTCCCCCCCACCCCACAATTGCGTAGTGTTTTGTTACTGATCTTCACCACAGCTAAGATTCTTATCCCCTTTTGTGATACTCTGCTGAAGGAGTTTATTAAGTCCTCTGGGCACCAGGGTGAAAATTCTGGTGTTTGGACATTGCGCAAGGTGATGCAAGCCATCCTTATCGTCTTCCACAAACTGATTGTGGTCCAAATAAGCAAAACAAAAGCATGAAGCACAAAAGCAAGATGACAGCCAAGAGACATTATGCAAACTTGTTTAAAATAATTGTTCCCTTTATTATATAATAGGAAAAGTAACAAACAATTTGACATAATCATTGACAAAGTGATTTTGAAAGAGAAGAGGAAAAAAAGGGCGCAGAGGACTAAAGGAGTGGGGTAGCAGGTTGTGAGAGGAGTAGAAGCTGTGAAGGGTGGATGAGGTGTGGTTAGAAAGAAACCTTACCAAGCTTACCAACCTTACCTAGAAACTTTACCACAAGCACTGGCCCACTAACAGGGGAGGACGAAGACTTTACTTAGTTTGCCTGATGAGACTGACAGCAGAATTCCTGCTGTGTGGCGTGCGGTTTGGCTTATTTATGACTTCAGAGTAATTCAGTGCTGTTTCTTGCAGGCCACCTAATGTGGTAATGATTTCCTTTGTTTAAAACAAGTTTCCACTGTAGTGAGATTATTTTAATAGTGCTGTTTATCTGGAAAAAATAATGGAATTTGGAAATAAAATAAATGGAGGATATACTCTTGAGGGAGAATGGTGATGTGTTTCTCAGCTGTCTGCTGGATGCAGATTGTAGTTTAGTAGCTGGCTAAGAATTTGTTAGTGCCCACTGCATTTTGTTTATTTATTTATTTTTTAACTTTGATTGTAGCTTTTTTCCATATCTTTGTAGTGAAAATGAGCAATTTGCTATGATTAGTTTGCAGTTCCTTCTTCCTTGGTATATGTTGAAGCAAAATGTCATTTCCCAGTTAGTTTTATTTCATTTCTTGGCTTTCTGTTGTTTACAATTGTGTAAGAAAAATATTTTTAACATTGGTCAGTGTTCGTATGTCCATTCTGAAAGGGCGTGTGAAACAAGAAATTGAGACACATGTAACCCGTGGAATAAAATACTCCAGAAAATCATTCCCCTGGACAAGTATCTTTGAGTTTTCAGTGCTGTCTTCTGTTTGAGCTTTCATTTGGATTTTAAGTAGGTGCTTTGTAATTATTTTAATGGCATTGAATAGAAATTATTGAAGTCTTAGAAAAAGACAATTCAAACTTATATATCAAATCTTACAGTACTAGTTCTGCATGTATTGTAGTCAGTCACTGTAATTATGCCTTTTGGTTATTTATGTCTTCAAAAAGTATATTGTGAATTACAAACAACTTTAAGGCAGCTAATGCTTTGTTGTCTTGCACAGTTTTCTTGCTGTGCCAGAAGCAATTGAAGAACTCATACTGTCGCTGGAAAAATGTCTCTTTTTCCTCTTTTTTTTTCCCCCTCCAGATTATAAGGTACAGAGTTTACTTTTTGTGGACTGCTGAGAAGAAAGAGTGCCTGACTTGGAAGCCTGCTTTAAAATGTCTTCTAGTTTATGAACTCACGTCTTTTTTCCTCCTCCCCAACTTCCCTTCTGTTTTGCAGCCATAGACCTTTTGTATGGGGGTATATACTGCTTTATGTGTCAAGATTACATATACGACAAAGACATGGAACAAATTGCCAAAGAAGAACAACGAAAAGCTTGGAAATTACAAGGTTTGGTTTTCCTGCCTGAATTTCTTGTTTCTGTTTTTAATCATACCTGTCCCTCCCATTTGTCAATGGCAAAAACCAGTAAGGGGAAGAAAAAGCTCTTTAGAGATAGTAGTGCAGGCCATGGGAGAAAAGAGATGTCTAGCTATTACCTTCCAGGAGTTAGACTGTTAGTTTAACATGTGCGCCGCACCTAATTGTAGCAAAAATATTTTATTTTTAATTACAAAAAAAAAAAATCTAACATTAACCCTGCAAAACTTGCATAATATCAGTCAGATCTGTATTAGGTAGAAAATTTAACGGTCTGCTCCTTTAGGCTTATTTACGTGATATAGGTAATAAATCTGTTCCCCTCACATGAAATGCCACCCTTGTGTGTGATTTTTTTTTTTTTTTTAATAGAACGTGCCAGCTTACTTACACACCTGTGCTTTCATGGTACACGCACAGTATCTATGTAGAAATATTTACACACAAATATATGTACACACATTTGTTTTATTCAGTTTGCTTTCCCTAATTTTTTCTTTTTTAGCCTTCACCCCAACAGTGGTTTCTCACTACCAGTGTACAATGACAGGTAAGAGGCGTGGGCTGGCGACGCACTTCACTAACAAGCGTCCCTTTGCTGATTATCCTGCCATTTTAGACATGAATCACAGTTAAGAATGCCAGTTTTATCGTGCAAATTGTGTTCCTCTTGTTTGGATATGTTCCAATGATTGAATAATTATAGCAGACTTGATTTCATATGCCCTTTCCTTGATAGAACTACTCCAAAACAAACCTTTTCTCCTTTTATTTGGAAAGGAAAGGAAGTAGCATTTATCTTAAACTGAGTAGTTTTTAAGCATCATTTATAAATGCTTGTCATCTTCCATTTCCAGTGGCCTCTAGGGGGTATGTTTTCTTAAAGTGGGAAAGTCTGTATTTGAAGACAGATGACTTCTGTCTGGTAATGTCTCTTACTGAATCCATGGCATCCTGTTTCAATGTGACAGCCTTAGTCAGGGCTGATATGACTTCAAACCATTCTTAACCTCATTTCGAATTTTAAAAATAGCAGCTAACATTGTATTAACTAGAGCTTTTCTGACGGCATATCAAAAGTATAGCTGCTTTTACTTAGTTCCTACTACAGATCCCATTCTACTTTCTGCTTATTCCCCATTTTGAAGGAGTTGAGTCAGAGGAAAGGAGGATAGTGAGATTGTCAGTGAGTTCTAGAACAAGAAAATATAGCTTAAAAAGCTTTAGCACAAAGCACTGGTTTTCAAAGCAAGACACAACAGAAACATGTTTTTAAACCTTTCATTTAGGCTATGCACCTCTTCTGAAAACTCCTTCAAACGCTTCTGAACTGTGTTGTTGGGGCACCAAATTAATCAACTGCAGCAACATAACACTTGTTCGTGATGCTACAGAAGAGAAAGGCCCCCCAGTTCCTTACCTTTGAATATGTAAATTTGAAGAGCAATTTCTTAATTATGTTGTCCTTAGCAAATAATATATTTGTGCCTTCTGGACTGAGATGCAGCCAGTTTGTCCTCCAGTGGACATCAGGCTGCTATAGCTTATATTCTAGGGTAAATACAGCTACAAGATTGTTCATCTTGTCATCTGGACCGCAGAGTTCTGCGGTGAAGGGAGGAATCACCAAGAGGAACTGCTAGGCAGGAAACGTTCTCTGTACTGGTTAATTGACTAATGACTAGCATATTAAATATATATATGAATGCATATTTATATGAATATGCACATTGCATCTTCTGTCCCTGGAGAACAAATCCATAATGACCAATGAAGATATAAATGAAGGAATAGACAACAATACACTTTAAATTACTGGAGTACACAGTATAGACATTTTTTCTTTAAAGTCATGGCATAGAGTCTTTTGTTTTATGGCTTTTTATCATGAAACCATGTGTATTTCCCCACAAATTTATCTAAGGAATGAGAAAGGGAGATACATGAGAGAAGTAAGGGAGAACTATGTCCTTTTCCCCTTCTTTCTCCATTGCTTCAATCCATCCCCTCCTTCTCATAGTGATTCATGTTATCTGAAAGATTTTTAAAGTATAAAGGGGGAGGAAACCCTTCTTCCTCTAAACTGAATGTCAAGATTAGTACAAACCCCAAACTCAGTGTCTTGGGTTTATGTTTCTACCACAGTTAGTTTGCCTCAGATAGTGTTGCCAGCTTAAAGAACTTAAGTGAATCCAGTCTGCAAACAGTGAGGTTGGCTTAAAAATTGAAGTGTGAATGTTGTATATTTTCAAATTTCTATCCACAGTGCTTGAAGGCTATTAGTATATACTTTAATAGACGCTCACATAACAACATGATGCCTGGAGAAAAAACTTTAAGAAAAACCCCAAATATCATGAGATTCATTTCATACTCCTGTAATATTAACTCTTAGTGTGATGAGTTCCCATGTCCAGCTGTAGTTCAGGGTTATATGATATAACTCTGAACAAGTTGCAACTCTACCATTTTTTTTTCTCTGCTATTGAATATTCTTTAATAATGAGGGAGGTGAGACTATGTGGAGCCCTTCATTCTAATTAATATTTGGATTTGGGGGAGGGGAAAAGGGGGGATTTGCTGAGTATAGCAAACTAAACAATCTATATTAATGATTACCTGCAAAATTCTGACTTTTATAAATTAGACCCTTCATCGCCTTTTCCTTCACTCATCCGTAGGTCCCTGATAAAGTCTCTGAAAAATTACAATTTGTGTATTTGACCTAATAAAATTAATTCTTGGATGGAGATTTCACATGGTGACTTGACTCTCTGGCTATTTTATAGCATCACTTTTAAAATGATGAATTTTCACTCCTATAACGCTACTTTCCTTTAATTGTAAACGGTAACCTGTGCATGTTTTGCAGATCTTTAAGGTAGTTTATATTGGAGTTTTTGGCATGTTTGTGGGTGTTATTAAACCTTTTATTAAACCTTTTTCCTTCTTTGTGTGTGATTTTTTTTTTTTTAAACTTTTAAACGCCGAACCACTCCTAATAAATGGTTCAGTCTTTTTTTTCCAAATTTTCAAGAGTAATAAAACCTCGATATTACGTAGCTGGAACACAACACTCTTTAATTTCTGTCTCTGACTTAAATTGTGCTCTTTCTAATGAAAGGCTTCTGTAAGAAAGTTTTCTGTCTGTTTTGCTCTGTGTTTGTTGTGGCATTAACTGTACATGGTTTTCTGTTTGGTTTCATTTCTTTTTAATTGAACAGTATTTGATTCACCCAGAGTCCTGCAAAGTAATCCAGTCTGTCATGTTTAACTTTACTTGAAGAGCTGCTCTTGTGAAATGCTTTGGTCTCCATCCTCTATAAGCATTTAAGCTATATAATTATATATAGATATATATAAATATATATGAATAGTCCTGCTGACATATATGGAACTATTGCATGCCTAAAGTTGAGCGCACATGTGTTTCCAGGTGTGAATTTTGTTATATTTGATTTAAACCAGGATTTAAATGTATCCAAGTTTTTTGGTTTTTTATTACGAGACTTCATCCCATTGTCAGATGATACTAACTGTGTTTGGCCATGTTTAAACTACAGTGAACCCAAATGCAAGAGTTTAAGTTTACAGCTGGCCAGTGCAATAGCTGGTACTAGCACAGTGTTGAAAATTATTTTGAGTTTTTTTACAAACCAATTTATATAAATTCCTAAGGGAGTATTACAAATATGAAAAGGGTTGCTGAAGATATGTAATATAAAACTTTTTCCAAGCCAATGTTCTGTCATATGTGAACTGTCCATATGTGCGTCTCTAAAGTTGCTTCATTCATTTGCCTATGTGTACCGTACAATGTATTCAAAGCATTGCAGCTGTTTTATCTCATCAATCTGTTACACAGTAATTAGTTTCCTTTTCTGTTTTCCTGGGTGTGTAGCTTGATGCTGAACCTTGGATAAAGGAAAGGGACTATATGATTCTGGTATTCTTTCTTATGCTTCTTGCATAATCTATTGTTGAATCAAATAAAGTGAGAGATGGGTGCATCTATGTAAATAAGATTTTTCTAGTCCTCTAGAATCTGAAGATGAGACCTTTTATTACTAGAACCTGGAGGGACAGTAGTAACTATGAATTGAACATTTTTGGGTGGGTAGCTTCTGACAAGCATAGCTATTTCTGAAAATGAAGATCAAAAAGCTATTAAAATTTAATGTATATTATGCAGAATGTGTAAGCCTCTAGCTATATTTTCTACTCTCCTTTTCATATGTATGATTTATAATTTATTTTCTGTAGCACAGCACTGTTTCTGCTCATGCATTCTGTGAAAAATAACTCTTAATTGACTTTAATCCTCAGTTTTAGAATAGATTGCTTGTCATCTTATTATTCTTTATTTTTTAATGCCAAGATGCTTTCGTGACTCACTATAATTGACCTTGCATAGTAATTTCTCTGTGCTACATAGAATGCTGCAGCAATACTTAGCTGGTCAGCACATGAGTCGTCACTGCTGTGTTTTTCTTGTATCGAATTTACACTGAACGCAACTCTGTGCTTACTTCAGGTCTATTCTCTGTACGACTTACCTGACTCATTTCTACTGTGCTTTCCTTTGAACAAAAGAAATGTATTGGAAATACAGTGTTGATGTTTAAAGAGAAGGATGACAGATATTAGCTGCAGCTCATGAGAAAGGGTAGTTAAGTATTTGGAGAGATTTGGCTGGTTGGTGGGAAGAGGGTTATGTTTAAACCTACTACTAATTGTGGTTTTAGGTAATGTAGATATGTCAGTAAAGTGAATCTCAAGTGTTAGAACTTGCTAATATCCAGTCCTACATCGTGGTTATAAGGAGGGGTCATACTTTGTAATGGTATATCATAAGACATGTAGTAACTGTTCAATATATTGAATTACTAAATTCTGCTGTTCATCTGTAAAGATTAAACCTGTATTTGTCCATTAAGTTGGGTCAGTTTTGATGTTTTTTGATTATCCTGTATCTTCTAAAATCATATGGTGGTTTTCTCATTTGACCTCCTCTGAGCACAAAGAAATGCATTTTTGAGTAATAGTGGATTTATTCTTGTGCTGGAATTTCTTTTTAACTGAAAGGAGGACTATAATTCAATAATGGCAAATTTATTTGGGCAAGGTATTCTTTATAAGTAAAGAAGTCCTTTTTTTTTCTTTTAGTTCTTATCATTTTGAAGATTGGTTGATATCTTTCTGAACAGTATGGGGGGGGGTGTAAAAAGAAATCAGTCTCTTGTAGTTGTACATAGATTGAACCTAACTTAATGGGCAGCATGTTGAAAGTTTTTACTTGAACAGAGTTTTTAATCCTTTTACTAAACAACTTCCTGAAACTTTCTTTTCGTCTGCTTAGGCATTGGAGAGAAGTATTCAACATGGGAGCCAACCAAACGAGAGTTAGAATTGCTACGACACAACCCCAAGCGGAGAAAAATAACCACAAACTGCACCATAGGTAAGTTCTAGAAATCCTTTCGGAAGGCGATTCTCAGCCACTTGTATGTTCAAAATTCTGTGTTGTTTTTCCATAAATATTTTTACCGTGAGGTAATGTAGTGGATTTCCGTAACTGTTAGGATAACAAAATACATTTATTTTACACTACCTTTTTCTCACTGCAGAAGGATATGTGCTCTGTCACTTCAGGTACTGATGATGATTCATCTGTGTAACAGCTACAAAACAGAACATTTTTTTGTCAATGTTGAGTTAAAGACTTTAGCAGAAATCAGTGATACTATCTCAAGTCAGTCTTCATCAAAGATCCTGTGCAGGTGTATGAAGGGAAATCCTGTAGCTGAGATGTATCCTTAACTGTAGCAATCTGTTGGTAAACCTGTTTTTAGCAGATAGAATAAGCACAGTGATGTCTTTCTGCTTCATGTTCTAAACTCTAAATGGGGTGTCTTCAATTTTATATTGACTCTGAAAAGACGTAATTTGTTCTCTAGTGTGTGTCAAATAGCAGTTTTGAAATGCATATCAAATGCTTAATGTTTAGAGTTCAGTAGTCTTGAGCAAAGAACTCTCTGAAACATGGGGACATCTACTTACGGCTGAGGAGTATTTGGGTAAGGGTGATGAAATGAACAGCGTTTTCCAATTGTTTTCTGCTGTCTTTAGGTTGGGGGAGTAGGGGCTTAAAACCAGCTTCCTAACAAACTCTAATGAAGATTATTGGGCATTTTCCTATACTGTTAAATGCACAGTAACATTTTAATGGTGAAGGTACAAGGTTGGAGATGTAGCTATAGACATTGCAAGTAGGAAACTGTTTAAAAAGGTTTTTTTCCTATTTTTTAAGCTACTTACTGTTTTATGAGAACGCATCACTTTCAGCGCAGTTGCTTTTGTCAAAATACACTGAATGTAATTGCTAAAACTTTCTAATATCATGTTTCTAATACAGTAAGTCATATTAAATCCAAAATATGTGCATATTTATTTGGAAAAATGGACTGAGAAGCACAGAGTAAGTTGTAGTAAGTTGAAAATGCATATAGAATGGTAATTCTAAAGAAGGGACCTATGCATTTGCAATAGTGGAACAGGAAAGACAGTTGGAAAAACATCTGGACTTTGGAAACTTCAAGCAGCCTAGGAAACAATAACGAGGCAAAGATTGCTTGCATCATGTTCACACTGGGATTTTGTGTTTTATGAAACTCTAGTAGATTTTGTAAAGACGGTTACAAATTACTTAAGATAATAGAACTGCACAGGGGGGAAAAAGTTTGATAGAATTTTGAAGGTGAGTGTGACCTTTCTGAAGAATTGAAGCACATTTCTGTGTTTCTCTTTCCAATTCGAAGGAATGCTATGCCTACTCTTAAAGGTTTTTAAATTTTTCAGTCTGTTTAAAAAGGACATGTCTGGTTGCATGAAATCTCATACAACGCTGCATGGGCGGGGGTGCTCTCATGAAACACAGGGGATAAGGGAAATGACTGATCTCTTTACTTCTGCAGGCATGCTTTTAATAATTTCTCCTACTGAGCCCTGGAGCTGACTATGTGCTGAGATTTAGAAAGAGAAAAAAAATCAAAGCACCCAGGAGACATAATGCAGTTTTGGGCTACAGTTAAAAGGAAAAAACTAGCTTTCTTTCACAAAAATACATTGGGGGTTTAGCTGAAGGAAGAAGAGACCTGCCATTGTCCTTGAGTCTTTTCTCTCCATCTAACCTGCTGCTAAATATATATCTGCTTCAGAGTCTTTTTCCCTTCACTTTCCTCACGTTGACTTGTCTGTTTGCAGTTTCAGATCAGTGAAGAGCCTATATGCAGACTGAAATGCTGCAATTATCTGGACATTCCCATTTCTCTCTCTTTCTAATAATTAATTCTTTTGACATCAAGTTTTTATCAATCCCATAGCAGATATTAGTGAATCCAGTTTTACCTTGAGGTAGGTAAATGGCTCGGAGAATAGGCGTAATGTCCAGTTTTATTGGTTCTGAAAATGAAGATGATGTTGATAACCATCTGTAATAAGTATTTCACATCTGTTGATCAGCTCTGTTTACAAAAGAGTCTGTTAAAGCATAACCAGCTGCCTTTTATGTATAAAAAGCTCTCTGCAAAGCTGTTTTAAGAGGAAGGCCAGGGGTGTTTGCTGCTTTCTGTCTTACCTCCAGAGATATACTGATGTCAGTTGGAAGACGGCATGTTTAACTGCTCTGCGGTGACCTTCTGAAATGGCTAGTGTGCTGATGCCTGTTTCAGCATTTGTGTAAGACAAATGTATCAGTATTATAACTAAAGTAGGTGGGACAGTACTCTGAAATGTGGACAGGCATGGCCTTGAAAGGATATACTTTTATGTGAAGGGCTTGCATATGATTTTGAGCCCTAATAGTAAAATACATTAAACTTGATGTTATTCATATCTAGAACACACTTAGGTGGTAAATTATGTTTTGTTGTAGTTTCCTGTTATATCTGTATTATTTGCATGACACTCATTTAGGTGAATGTTTTATTCTGTGGCAGAACCTTCTTTGTACATAAAGGGATTTTTTTATTCCACTTGTGTAGCAATCTCATGATGCTTCTCAAACAGCTGGATGTGTCTGCTACTTTTTGAGCTGCTTGAACTTTTGTACAGCTGCAGGATCCTTGTGTCTTTCATTGGCACCATAAATTAAATCTGAAGAATACTCAGTCGTGAAATGAATATGTAATGGAGGATTAAACTGGTAGTTCATTAGAGGGGATACTGTGCAAAACTCCTAGCTTTCGATTTAGTGAAATGAAATTGTGTTTCCACTTACAGGACAATTTGTAACCCATTGAAGAAGGAACTTCTTGTTCAAATCCTTAAAAAAAAAACCCCAAAACTCAACAAAAAACCAACTTAACAAAAACCCATAAATTTTGCTTGGGTCTCTTAAAACGGTTTGTGTTTCCATCTCATAGATATTTTTCCAGCTAGTAAGAAGATAGAATAGGTAACTTTGCTTGAATCACTATTTCGCCATTGAGCAAATTGCTCTTCATATGAAAACTAACGCTGGGCACAGCTACAGGCTATAGAAACTGTGCTGATTTCTGCTTTTTGGGATATAAACAAAAGGCTGTTCCTAATGTGGGCACATAAGCATCTTCAAAGTGACGTGGAACACTCTGTTAACCAAGTGGAAACATTGAGCTATCTATGTGTAAGAAGCCATGATGAAAAATCTCGCATAGTGTGGATTTTATGTGGGGCATCTCATATTCTGATGTCCTAGCAGACATGAAATGTTTCTGTATTTCAAGACATTCAAGAAGAGTGTAGTCTACTCAGATCATAAACATGCTCTTCGTTGCAGTATCGGCTCAAGACATTCTCAGACCTTGTTGTGCCCCAGATGCTATAGCACGCTGCCTTTTTCATTGTGCTGGCACAGTTGTTTTCAGGTGAACTAGATCAGGCTTATTGTGGGGAATGCAGAGGGTGAGTGGAAAGTAGAAATTTCCTAAGTTATTGTATGTTGTTCTCAGCAGCAGTACAGAATCATGACTTAGACAATTCATAGAGTATTTCTGTTCTTAGTCATGCTCTTGATTTTGGGCTGAAGCTGATGTTTCAAACATCCTGTAAACACCAAAACTTTTATATGGAAATTTAGGTAAGACTTAACAACTACTAAGTTAGATTCTACCAGCATAAAAGGAAAATCTAATTTTTTCAGTCTCTTCTTGTCTGTGAAGAGGCTGCCCTCAGCAAGTGAGGTTACTGACCAAGCTGCAAGTTCACAATCAAATTTTTTATTACTGGGTTGGACTACAAGTGAAAGTGATACAGTATCTTTTGGGAACTATTTTCCAAAGCTCATCTTGCTCTGCTAACATTAGTACCCCCAGCAGATAAGTTCTCCTGAGTACATGAAGTATTAGCATGGGATCAGCTGGTCTCCAATTAGCATATGAAGTGACTTTGTGGCTAAAGATTGGTATATTAACAATAGGAAGAATTAGACTCCCAAGGCACATGGGTAATTAGCAGGAGCCACTTGGGATTCCCATTTGCAGTGTTGCAAAAAGGCAGAGGGGATAGCCTTTATAGGAGACTGAGCAAATCCTTTTCAGAAAGAATGATGAGGTGTGGGGGAGGTGGCAAAAACAATAGCTACATGGGAGTAGCAGGTGGTTTTTGCAGCTGTGCAATGCTAAGCAGTGTGATGTGACAAAGAGCAGCATGAGTGGAATAAATATTGCAGCAGAGCTCCCATGTAAAGGTGGCAAGGGAAGAGGAACAGTGGCCTGGAAAATATTTCTGGTTCTCTAGACAAGTTACCAGGAGCATTTCCACTTCTGTAGAAGTAGCGGTAACTTGAAGGTGTTGAAGACTACGTTAGTACTTGGAAGTTTTTTTGTGGGATCCTTCTGTTCCTCTTTTACCTTGTCATGAGCTCTGACTATTGGACTGAGTTGTGTAACGTTTTTCCTAGGTCTAAAATTGATAAACCTGATAGTAAAATGAAAAAAAAACCCTTTCCTCTCAAAACTGCCAGGGAATTTAAAGAAAAATTAGAGGGGCGTGAATCTTCTAAGAATTCTAAAACGTAAGCTGTGACTTACTTGCTGAGGTTTGTAGAGATTTGCTTTCGGAAAGTCTTGCTAGACTTTTGAAGTTTACCTCTTTAGCAATATAAAATATAAAGCTTTCTTCTGCAAAAGACATTTCAAAAAGAAATTCCACATTTGATATTTCAGTAGCCTTTTTGTGTATTGATCGTCATCTGAGAGGATGTCACTTAGTTTCCCAAAGCTAGTGCCAGAAAGAATTTGCATCACTGGTGTAATGTCACTTTGTATGGTTTATCTTCACAGCAGTCATTGATTGAGTTCTCTATGATTTAATTGCTGTTGGGCAAGCTTAGGGACAACCACATTATCACTGAAGTCCCTGTAGTGTTTATCTGCGTGGAGTGAGCAAACTTCTGTTGTAGAAACTTTTGTTATAGAAAAG